TATCCTCACTACACTAAGTCCCTCTCATCTCTTGCTCTTGCCTTTTTAAAGATTATAAATTTATTTCTAACTATTCTTTTACTTTTATAATGAGCCCATGGCTGTCGGCGTCAGGGGCCCAGAGCAGGGTGGAAGGACTAGGAGGCAAAGTGACTTTTCTGTGGAACATACAAGGCATTACGTCCCTACCTTCTTGTGCCCACCCGTGCCAGTTGAAGCTTTGTGTACAGGTCTGACGTCGTTGTTTCACTTCTGTACGTCTTGGTAAGCTGCTCCTGACACTCGGTGCTTTGAAATTTCACGGGTATAAGTTTATGTGTTAGGTCATTTTGTATTCACATTATCAAGAAATCAGTGGACACTTTAAATGTGAAAACCCTGCATACACGGCAGTTCTAAGAAACAGTCTTCTCCTCTTTCTGCTGTGACCTTCCCAACCATTTCTACTTCTCTTTTCCTGGAACATTTAGGACACAGCTGCTGGTCTCTCAATGCTTCTTAAACTGTCTTTTTCTCTTTGCTTTTTGCTCTGTACTTTGGGACATTCCGTCACCAAAAGTTTTACCCTTGTCCCCGAGGCTGCATCGGAAGAACGAGGACAAGTGGTTTGAGGAGAAGGAAAGGGAGGTTTATTAATCCACCAGCAAATGAGGAGGATGGAGACTCTCATCTTAAAGTCCGTCACCCCGACTATCAGCAGAACTAAAGCGTGCAAAGGGAGCGTGTTCAGCTCCAGACTGTTGCTGTTTGACCTCAGTGGGTGGCTCTGATCCGTCCCACCATGGGTGAAGACAGTCCCGTGACCTCTGCCACGTGATTCTGTTGAGCCATCTCCTGGGCACAAAGGAGAAAGGAGGCTCCTCTTCCCCTCTGATACGGCCTTGGGCCGGGATGTAGGTTTTAATCCCCCAAAGGGGGTCAGGGGTAAAAAGACATTTTCCCTTTCTCAGGCTGTCCTGCTGTTGCGCATCCATGCTCGTCATTGCAGAAGTTCCCAGCGGTTCTCCCTCCTCCAGCTCCCACCCAACTCTACCCTGATTATCGTATCCCTCGGGGGCCCTCAGACTTTTTAAACGGGTGGCCAGTTCACTGTCCCTCAGACCATTGGAGGGCCGGACTGTAGTTTTAAAAAAACTATGAACAAATTCCTGTGCACACTGCACACATCTTACTTTGAAGTAAAAACACAAATGGGCAAAAACACCACACGTGGCGCGCGGGCGGTAGTCTGAGGACGCCTGGATACATTTATTCTCGCTGTGTCTCCTCACTATGGTTCCCAGCAGGAGAGGAGGAGGCACGGTGCGCGGGGACCCTATAACAAGTCACGCTGGACCGGGAGCACAAGCGCTGAGCGTTCACTCCTCCCCGTCTGGAGGCGGCGGGAAGCCTGGGGTCGGGGCTCAGTCGGGTCCGGGGAGGGTCCTCCCCTGGGCTGCGGGCTGCGGACTGCTGACTGCTCACGGCGCTGACACCCGACACAAACGGCGAGGGGCTCCCCGGGGTTGTCTTTACAAGGGCCCTGATCCACTCACGGGAGCCCCACCCTCGCCACCCGCCCGCCTCTCTCAGGCCTGCTCTCCTGGGACCGCCGCGTGGAGGGTTAGAATCCCAACGTATGACTGTTAGAAGGGCACAAGCATTCGGGCCATCGCAGGAAACGAACACAGGCTCGCTCCGTGAGATGAACTAGGCACTTTAAACTCAATGCACAAATTTTGCTTTTTCGGTGGGTGATATCCCGCACCCAAGGGACAGATGATGTGAGTTTTGTTCCTTAGGGACCCTTGACTAGTTGCAGGTTTGCACGTCCTTCTCCCGGGTCTCTGGGCACGTGGTGCACACGCATATCACAGGCGTGTTCTCACCGTGTGCTCACCGTCAGCGTGTCCTTCCCTGGCGTCACAGTAGACTGGGAAGGGGTGTCTTCCCAGCACTTAGCGACACACCACAAAGATTTGACACGGATTCCAAATTCACACTGAACGAGGACAGTAAAGGCTTTAAAAATCTGGGCCAGACCGGGCGCGGTGGCTCACGCCTGTCTTCTCAGCCCTCTGGGAGGCCAAGGCGGGAGGATCCTTTGAGCTCAGGAGTTCAAGACCAGACTGAGCAAGAGTAAGACCCC